GATAGAAACGAGTTTGAACCATTTCTCTATTTCTGCGTGTCATCCTTGAAAGCACAGGGCCCATGCTAATCTTCTCTGTATCGTTCCAGTTTTAACGGATGTCCCGGGCCGTGGTCCCACTAGCAAAGGGGATAGGATAGAAATCCTGAATCTGGCTATGTTTCATGCAGAGATACAGAAAATCAGTTCGATCTCGATTTCCTGCTCCTGTCCTCAAACACATCCAGATTCAGGCATTCAATAGGATGCTCTCTTGCTAATGGGACCACGGCCCCGATGGACATAGAAACGACTTTGTTGGAAAGTTGAGTGACCCAAATCCTGCCGCGCAGTACTGGTGAGTGATCGCACGGTCAGTATTTTATAATAAACTTATATGTATTTAATTTTCCCGAAAACGTAAGGAGATAGTGGTTCCCCTCCTCCTCTCCTTAACACTCATCACTGGGCATGCCCGTGCAAAGAAAGCTTCCCGCCAAAAGAGGGTGGGTTCGGCATTAGGCCCACTGGGGCGTGGTCCCACTAGCAAAGAGGGTCGGATCGAATGTCTGAATCTGGACGTGTTTGCTACTTTGTGGAGAGGTGCAGGAAATCGAGATTGAGCTGCTTTTCTGTATCTCCGCATAAAAAGCTCCCAGATTCAGGAGGTTAATCCTATCCTCTTTGCTATAGTGGGACCTCGGCCCTGGATTGAAGATTTTCAGTTTGGATTTTTTTACTTGCTGTTGTGCAATTATCTCATTGGGTGGAGCCCTCCTTCAATCACGGAGTATATGGAGGGTGTCAGGATCACTGCTGACAGAAGTCAAGCTTTTTTATTCCAGAGAAAAAAAAATGGCAGTTACTTTGTTCACTGTTGTTGCAACCACCACCATCAGATCATTTGTGATCTGATGGCTGGGAGCACTCTGCCGTGATTTCCGGTTGCAGGTCTCTGTTTCTTTTTTTTCTTTCTTTATTGCCTTTCTCCTGTTTTCTCAGCCCAGAAATTCGTAATGAACCTGTCAGCCCGCTGCCACTCAGTGTCACACTGTATAGGCCAAACTCCTATCCGACTGCTAATGGGAMAGGTMAAAAAAAAAAAAAAAAAAAAAAAAAAAAAAAAGGTAGCCTTGCCTGCTCGGTCCTTTCAGAGTAACATTTGCCTTCCTATTGCACTGCAGAGAAGTCCTAGGTAGTGTGATACAGAGAAGTCCTCTTTTTTTTTTTTTTTTTTTTTTTCGGTATCCCTCTATCCTGGCGGTGGTAAGAGAACCGTCAGAATTGATGCAGGTGGTGTGATACAGAGAAGATTAATTGAAAAAGGGAGAAGGGGAAAAAGAAAAAGAAAAAGAAAAAGAAAAAAAATAAGATTTCTTTTTTTTTTCCTCTCTTTTTGGATAGATTAGCATCGCCCCTGCTAAATACCTGGGGCGAGGTCCCATTAGCAGTGGGATAGGAGTGTGGCCTATCCAGTGTGACACTGAGTGGCAGCGGGCTGACAGGTTCATTACGAATTTCTGGGCTGAGAAAACAGGAGAAAGGCAATAAGGAAAGGAAAAAAAGAAACAGAGACCTGCAACCGGAAATCACGGCAGAGTGCTTCCCAGCCATCATATCACAAATGATCTGATGGTGGTGCTTGCAAGAACAGTTCCCAGCCATCAGATCACAAATGATCTGATGGTGGTGCTTGCAAAAACAGTGAACAAAGTAACCGCCACATTTTTTTGGAATAAACTCTACTTCTGTCAGCAGTGATCCTGACACCCTCCATATACTCCGTGCTTGAAGGAGCGCTCCACCCAATGAGATAAATTGCACAACAGCAAGTAAAATAGTGAAAATCTTCTATCCAGTGGGCTAAGGCCGACCCCAACCTCGTTTGGGGTTGGCCACACCCCCAACCTATTGAAAAGATTCTGGCGGGAAGCTGTCTTTGCACGGGCATGCCCAGGGGGAGGGGAACGAAGATCTCCTGACTTTTTCGGTTAATACATGTAAAATACTGACCCGGTCCGTGGGATCACGAGTACTGCACGGCAGGATTTGGGTCACTCAACTACCGCACAAACTCTTTTCTATCCTATCCCGTTGCTAGTGGGACCTCGCCCCTGGGCACTCGGTTAATATCTCCTCAGTGGGAGGGCAGTAGATGGAGTGCTTCTTGGTACCTGTGAACTGGCTTAGGGCCCAATCTCCCCGACGTAGGGAGATACATCGGGCCCTCAGCTGGAGTTCCAAGCACAAGGGTCGAAGCTGCTAAGTGGTATCTAGTGGATGGGGATGACTGCAAGATGAGGTCTTGCATTGTCAGTGGTGAGCCAGCCTCAAACCCTCACCCCTGGGCCGAGGTCGCACTAGCAAAAAGGATAGGATCGAGATCCTGAATCTGGATGTGTTTTATGCAGAGATGCAGAAAAGCAGTTCAGGACAGGAAAGCTGGTAAGCGCTAAGCTCGGCTTCGGCGGGGCCTAGCGCTAATAGCGATTAGGGTTATGATTAGCGCTCAGTTGGGGCATATCCACGTACGTCCGCTGGAACTACGACGATCATGGATACAAGTATCGGCATTACCAAGCTCAGGTGGAATAGGCCCGCACATGCTGACCGTGGATAGGGAGAAGGTAGGGAGGGAAGGGAGAGTGAAGGGCTGAGCAGACCAGAGATATGGTGGTGAGAGTTAATCACGATCGAATACCGCCCATAAATAAGCAAGGACAGGCATCAGTCCACAAGGACCTACATCATAACACAATCAAATTATGGCCAACGACACATGCAGACCCCATGAACACGAGACTGACGACAAACAAGACAAGAGATGGAGAAGAAACACAACGACGCGCCAGTATCCCGAACGTGACATGTAGCCCGAAGTAGGGTATATGAAGGCGTGGCCGGGGGAAATCAAAGAGGGGAACGGTTTGCTTCATCGGCGGCATCCAATCACGTTATCTCTTCAGTTTCGTAAGACCAACATAAGGCAAAGGGTCGTCCACAAAAAAAAAAGGGGTAACTTTGGCGCAGTCACGAAAACAGTTTGTAATTGCACTTCACGCAATCCCGCGAATACAACACAACCCCATGCGGCCCCACCGGACCCGAAACGTAGGTCATATACATTCAACATTACCGGCCCTTTTGCCTCAAGTGCAATTACAAACTAAAACCCTGACTGCGCCGTAGTTTTCTCAAAAAAAAAAAAGGGTCGTCCACTTTACAAGAGGATGGTAATACCAACTTGAAGACCTTCATCCTCATGCTCGACTGCGAGGATTCGACTGTTGCTGTACTACGTTCCTTTTTTTTTTTTTTTTTTTTTTTATACTTAAAACCCTTCGAAAACCAACTATCCCAGCGGTACGTTCCTACATGCCAGAGGATACAGGTTTTGTTAACTTAAGAGAGGTATACTCTCTTAACTAGAGGCCTTGGATTAGAGGTCCTTCCGACTTAAAGTTTGTGCCAATTTAAAACTTAATGAGTATACCTTTCTCAGCCTTTTGGCTAAGGGTCTCGTTAGACACTCCTAAAAATGCCTGTTTTTAGGATTGCGTCGTCGTTGCACAGTCCTAAAACGAAATCAGAGATCGAAAATGTGAAAACGGCGTTAGGACGAGTCCTAAAAGATTTAGGATTCCCCAGGCAAAATCGTCCAAAATTTTCCAGTAGCCCCCGACCTACTGAAAAATTTAGGATTCCCGCATTTCACTGACTCGTTGCATCGCGCGCATGGCACCGTCGACACTCGTTGGTGGTCCAGAAGCAGTCCGTCGAGTCGGTGGTCGGACATCGGAGGTTTTCTGCGGCTCGACGCGGGCAACGGCCACACACGGTAGCCGTTGGCCGAGGGGGTGGAGCGCGGAGGGCCGAGCGTCGGCGGGTGGTTGCCCGTATTGGACTGTTGGGTCGCTTGCGAGATGCGGAGTCGGACGTCGACGTGCGCAGGACGACAGACGGAGCCGCTTCGGGCAGCGCGCACCGCAACGGTCGAATTTTGAAAAGGAAGGCGGGCGTGTTCGTCGTCTTCTGTGGTGGTTGTCCGCATATGAAGGTCGAGCGCCCCTATCGCGGGCATGTCGGAACACACATCTGCAGTGGTCACGTGCGAGGGCAGCTGCAGAGGTGAATTTCATGGCTGACGTGCGGAGGAGATTGCCTCTGCTGGTACTCGTTGTCGTCGTCTTCCTGATTGTCGTCTTCCTCTACGTGTGTTTTTTGTGGCGGCCGTGGAAACAACAACGCAAGAGGAGGGCTTCGACGAGACGGGCGGCAGGCGAACGTCTAATGGCGGGCATGCAGGCACGACCGGCTGCTGCCGCAGGTCAGGGAGGAGTTCGATCTTCTGCAGCAGCGCCTCGAAGGCGGTACGACCCGTCCATGTACACCCATCAGGAGTCGTGGGACACACCATTGCCCCTGTCGGACGAGGAGCCGGCGAAGGAAGAACTTTCGACGTTGCCTCTCGCTAGCGGCTCAACTCAGTTGTGGTCGCAGACGGTGCGAGCAGGCGGGTCGGCTCCCGACGGAGGGGGCGAGTTCACGTCATTGCTCCATCAAGGCTTGCAGGACGACGACGGCGGAGGAGTTGATCTTAGGTTCGAGTTGTGTTCTGGCGGCGGAAGTGAGGCGAGTCGTTCGGCACGTGGCGTTGAGCATGGTGGAAGTCTGCATAAGGAGCAATCCACACTTCGTCGCGCTGCACCCGTGACTTGCGCGGTCGGGCCATCGCCAGCGGGACAACAACATGGATCGACTGCTCCGTGCGTCGATCGATTGGGCGGTGCGCGTTCGCTGATGCCTGCGTGCACAACACCGGTCAAATCCGGAGTGAGGGACGAGGGAACGTGCAGAGCACCAGTACGTCCACGACCCACTGTGGAGAACATAACACGTGGAGTGTCGAACATGCGGGCACACAGCGATGGAGGCGAAGACGACGACGCAGACGAAGGGATGAGGGAAGACGTGGAAGCGGGGGACGACGACCACGATGTTCCAATTCGGCCTTTGGGGAAGACGGCTGGGAGGGGGAAAGGACGCGGCAGAGGTGGTGTCCGTGGTCGATCCGTTGGCCGTGGAGGCAGAGGTGGCGTAAGTGACGACGCTGGAAAGTCTCCGACGTACTGGTCTGCAGAAGACCAAATGCTCTTGGTGCGATGCAAGCGGGAGCAAGATATGCACCTCGCCGGCTTGTCTCACAATTACGGGCGGATGAAGACGAAAAAGTGGAAGTGGGAGGACATGTCGAAGCGGATGGCGAATGCGGGGAGGCCTAAGGACGCTTACGACTGCATGAAGAAGTGAGACAATCTGTTCCAGAACTACAATAAAATTCAGAGGTTTCAGAATGCCAGCAGGCGGCCAGATTTTTTCAAGCTGACGAACGAAGAGAGGAAGGAGCACAACTTCAAGTTCCGGATGGACAGGGCGCTGTACAACGAGATTCACGCAGGCATGGTGGGGAACCACACGATTTTCCCTCCCAACGTTGCCGACACCGGCAGTCCGGATGGGGTGCAGCTGCCCAGGCGAGGAGCGGGTGGCGGGGATCTGTTTGTAGTGAGGCGGCCGGTGAAGGCTGCCCTGACGAGCGTTCTTCTGCGAGGGAGTCCGACAGCAACGCGGGCATAAGGGCGGGAGGCGGGAAGCAGAAGAACGCGTGTCAGCAAGCATTCGAGTCCATCTCCGATGTCATGGAACGCCATGGCGCAATGATGTCGTCGACGATCGAATCGTCTAGCAAGCGGCAATGCAGCATCTCCACGAGGCAATGCAACATATTGGAGCATGAAGTTGCCGTCTGAAAAGCCCACTATGCGTCGTCCGATGAGACGCAGAGGATTATGTGCCACGCACTGTTCGAGATCGCTGACGCCATCCGTGGTCGGTCGGCCATGTAGGCCATTACGTGTTGTGTTGATCAAAGTTGGTTCTTTGCCATCGTCATGGAGTTCTTTTTTTTTTTATCGGTTGTGAATTGCATGATGTTGCCATTGGCAATGCTCGTGGACGGCTGCCGCGGAAGCAATGCCAAGTAGT